CCCGGGGGGGATGGCCACATCACAATCCCTTCTCCTCCATTCTCCTCTTGGGATCTTGGGCACGCACGCACACACACCACACCCGGCGTCAGTTTAAGTCACCGGGTCTGGAACTTGAACCGCAGTCGGCTACATGGGAGTCCAGCGACATAGCCATTATGCTAACTGCTGGTCCCATTTTTAAGAAATAATTATTTATTTAAGGGACCGGCAGATGGTATGTTAGTTAAGAGCACTGAACTCCCACATGGCTGACCACGGTTCAAGTCCCGGACCTGGCAGCTTACCTTCTTACTTCCCCTCTCTCTCTCTCACTCTGTCCCTCTCTGGTCAAATTGGAGTGAATAAATGAATAAATAAAATTTAAAAATCAATCAACCAATTAATCAGTAATGATTATTTATTTAATTAATTAGATTAATTATTTTTGAGAGAAAGATTTTTGCTATAAGGTGAGTGTGCTCACCAGAGAGATGGAGAGAGACAGACAGTACTGAGTAATCACCCCCTGGGGGGGAATGGCCACACAACAATCCTTTCTCCTCCATTCTCGTCTCAGGATTTGGGGCACACACGGATTTTGGGCACGCAAGCACACACACTCAGCATGAGTTTTAAATCGCCAGGTCCAAGACTCTAACCACGGCTGACTTCGTGAGAGTTCAGCTACGTAACCTTTACGCCATCTGCTGATCCCTATTTTTTTTTCTTTTTCTTTTTTGCTATAGGACATGTACACAAACCAGGGACACAGAGAGAGAGGGGGGATTGGAAAGCAAGTCACTAGGTACAGAACTCAAAGTGCAGTTGACCACAAGGGAGTCCAGCACTTTAATCACTACACCGCCTGCTGGCACCCTGTTTTCTTCTTTATAGGTATAATCTGAAGGACTTCATCCTTTATGTTCCTGGAAGTAGCTCTTTTGCTACCTCCTCCCAGCCTGAATATAAATGAAATCTTACCATTTTTGTGATCTTGAGAGCTTCAGGTGGTAAAAGGGGGCAGTCAAATCTAAGGAGTAACACAGAGCCTTGTTTTTTTTTTATTTATTATTATTATTTTTTATGCCAGAGGAAACGTGTGCTTGCTGGAGACAAAAAGAGAAACAGTGAGAGGAGAAGTGAGAAATCACTGCCCGGGAGGGATGGCCATGCTATAATCCCTCCTCCCCTATTCTCCTGGAAGTTTGGGCATGCATGCACACACACCTGATGTAATTTTCAAGCTGCCAGGTCCAGGACTCAAACCTCTTTTGGCCACGTGAGTTCAGTGCCCCAACCACCATCCATGCCACATGCTGGCCCCCACCAGCCTTATTCTCTTTTTCTTTTTAAAAAATAATTATTTTAGTGACTGTTATGATTATTTTAGAGATTTTTGCTATAGGGTATGTGTGCTTGCCAGAGGGACAGAGAGACAGAAGGTGAGAAATCACCCCTAATGGGGGGTGGCCATGCCATAATCCCTTCTCCATTTTCCTCTGGGGACTTTGGCACTTGGCGTGTGTTTCCAGTCACTGGGTCCAGGACTCCAACCTTAGTCACATGGTAGTATAGTACCTTAACCATTAAGCTACCTACTGACCTCTATTATTATTAAAATTTGCTATAGGGCATATGTGTTCTCCTCTTCCGCGGTAGGGTGTGGGGTGTGGCGGGGTGATGAGAAAGCAAGCCGCCAAGTGCAGGACTCAAACACTCGTTGGCCATGTGGGAGTTCAGAGTCTTAACCACTGGGCCACTGGCTGGTCCCCAGCATTCTTCTTTTTTAAATTATTCATTTATTTAATTTTATTGATCAGTATTAATATTATTATTTTTTTGATCTGCTACAGGTCACATATGCTCACCAGAGAGAGAAAGAAGGAAAGTGAGAAACCAAGCTGCCAGGTATCAGACTTAAGCTGCAGTCAGCCATGTGGGAAGTCCAATACTTTAACCACCATGCCACTGGCTGGGCCCACACACACACACCAGTATTATTCTTGATAAGCTACATTTGGTCCTGTGGTGAACAAGGCTGACCAGAGGAAAGAGCTAAAGTCCAATGTCAAGGCCTGACTGATCCTTGTCCTGTGATTCTTTTTTTGGAGAAGTTTTTGCTATAGGGCGCGTGCGCTCACCAGACAGAGACAGACAGAGACAGAAAGCGAGAAATCACCCCCCTGGGAGGATGGCCACGCTGCAATCCCTTCTCCTCCATTCTCCCTTCGGGATCTTGGGCACACACACACATGTGCCCGGCGTGAGTTTAAGCCACTGGATCTGGGGCTCGAACCATGGTTGACTACATGGGAGTCCAGCAAAATAGCCATCACGCTAACTGCTGGTCCCTGTCCTGTGATTTTTCTAGAGACACAGAATGGACCCAGAATTCTTCCATATTTTCTCTTTCCCCATTTTAGGACTAGTGGCTGCTGATGAAAATTGGGGGACAAATTGGCCAAAGGGACTTGCCAGCACCCCGTGAATCTTTCAGCACCCACTGTGAATATTAAATGGAAACACTGAGGAGGGGCAGTCTCCTAACGCAAGAAGCAGGGAAGCTCTTGCGATGCAGAATACACTTGGGGGTACTTACAAAGACCTGTGGGGTGGCTGGGTTGCTCTTCTGCTATGACATGCCCTTATCAGATGTTATCATTTAGTTTGTTTTTTTTTTTTTCCCTCAGAAAGAAGGGAGAGTAGTCCCAGTAGCAAGAACAGGGTCTTGGGGAGCTTAGGGCTGGGAGAGATTGGCACAGACCTAGAAAGGAATAGACCAGTCAGGTCAGGAACAGAGAAAGACCAAAGTCCAGAGGAAGAAACAAAGGGCCAGGGCTAGCCAGGTGGCATAGTGGTTAAGGTGCTGGATCCCACATGGTTGTGTGGTTGGAGTCCCAGACCTGGCAGCTTGAAAAACACTTTGGGCGTGTGTGCCTATGTGCCCCAAATCCCGGGAGAATGGAGAAGGGATTGCAACAAGACCATCCCCCTGGGAGGTGATTTTGCACTTTCCCTTCCACTATTCCTCTATCTCCCTCTGGCAAGCACATGAATCCTATAGCAAAAAAAAAAAAAAAAAAAATTAAAAAATTAAAAAAATGGGGAACCAGCAGATGGCACAATGGTTACGTCGCTGGACTTCCATGTAGTTGACCATGGTTTGAGTCCCAGACCCAAAGGCTTAAAACTCATGCTGGGTGCATATGCGTGCATGCCCAAAATCCAGAGACTGGAGAAGGGATTGCAGTGTGGTCGTGCCCCCCTAGGGAGTGACTTCTCACTTTCTGTCTTTCCAGGGAGCACATGTGCCCTACAGCAAAAACCTTTCTCAAGATAAAAAAGAGGCTAGCAAGTGGCGTGGTGGTTAAGGTGCTGGACTCCAGTGGTTTCAGTCCCAAACCTGGTGTGATTGGCGTGTGTGTGTGTGTGTGTGTGTGTGTGCCCAAAATCCCAGCAGAATGGAGAAGGAATTGGGGATTGCAGAGTGGCTATTCTCCTGGAGAGAGTCTCACTTTCTCTCTTTTTTTTTCCTTAAGAGAGATTTGTCTATAGGGTACATGTGCTCACCAGAGACAGAGCTATAGAAAGTGAGAAATCACCCCCACACACACCCCTGGGGAGGATGGCCATGCTGCAATCCTTCCTCCTCCATTCTCTCAGGATCTTGGGCACACACAAACAAGCACTCGGCATGAGTTTTAAACCACCAGGTCCAGGACTCCAACCACAGTCAACTACATGGGAGTCCAATAACGTAACCATCGCACCATCTGCTGGTCCCTCTAATTGTTTTGATGTTTTTCTCTCTCTCTGGTGAGCATACGTGTCCTATGAAAAAAAAGAACAAAGAAACAAAGCTCAGAGTGACAGAGCAGTTGAGATTCCGAAGGTAAAATCAGAACTGAAGGGATAAAAGCCCTATCAACTCACTTGTATTTCCCAGGCCAGGAGGCACCTGGTGAGAAAATTCCCCAGTCCTAGGGTCTTTGCGTTCACTTATTTCGTAATAATAGTTCAGAAGAAGCCATCTCAGCTATAGAACAAGTAACCCAGTTTCAGAACATTTCTCTCTCAAAAAAAAAAGTTCATTCTCTCCCCTCAGGCACTCAGTTGTAGGAATCTGAACTCTTTCCTCTCACTCAGGGGCCCTTTGCTATTTAATTCCAGGTTGGCTGGCATAGTCATCTTTTTAAAAATTATTATTAAAATTTATTTTTAAGTTATTTTTTAATTTGACCAGTGAGAGGAAGAGTGAGAAAGCAAGCTGTGAGGTCAGAGACTTGAACCTCGGTCAGCCATATGGGAGTTCGGCACCCCAGCCACCACACCACCTGCTGGGCCCTTCCTTCCCCCCATGAGAGATTTTTGCCATAGGGTGCAAATAACCTCTCAATGTGACCTTCTGTCCTCAGGAGTCATGTTTCAAGAATGAAGCTGAGTGACTGAGAATGAAGACTAAGGAACAAAGATGACTAGATTAATTTGCCTAAAAGCAACAGAGCCCATCAGTCTAAAATAAATATTTATCATGTCTGCAGCATTTCAGAAGAATTTAGCAGATTCACCCCTTTAACTTTTTATTGCTATTGTCTGTATAACCTTTCACTGTTGGTCAACCAAAGTTTTAGAAGCAACAGCAG